AGGCAGAGCGGCCTTGATTCATCTCTAGGACAAGGCAGCCTCTCCTGCTCTCCGCTCCCGCCTGCCCCAAGCCTCTGGGACAAAGCGTCAGCTTCCTGGCCTGCTGGGGACAGGTTTGAGGACAGGGACAGGGACAGGGGCCCCTCACCCTCTGGACTGGCTCAGTGGCTCCTCCCTCCCTAAGCTTCGGGACTGGTCTGTCCCACAAAACCTCCCCAGATCTGCCCGGGGGCAGTGATGCCTTGTTTTCCTCTGTCTCCTCTACCTGCTTAGCAAAGCCTTCACCCAGTCGGCCGGGTTGTGCCGAGCACCCAGGGACCGAGGCTCCGTGGACAAATGTCAGCGCCTGTCTCCAAGGAGCCTCAGTCCTGGAGAGGACAGCAGCCTGTCAGGCCAGGTGGCATGGAGCTGGGCTGCCAGGACAGCCCCATGGCCCTCCTCGGATGGGGCGGCCTCTCATTCTAGGCTCCAGTGACACAGAGGCACTGAGGTATCATGGCTGACCCCACAGGACAGAGGCACACTGGGTGATGTGTGGCAGCGGGGACGATGTCCCCTTCCAGGCCGGCTGCTGAGGGTTCACGCATTCACATTTACTTACACTACCTGAATCACAGAGTTTCCATTACCCATGCTTATGCTCATTGTAACAGTGGAGGCCGAAACGCAAACAGTGCTGGGCTAGAACCCAGGGCCTCTGCACCGAGGGCCTCTGCACCCAGCTACATTCCCAGCCTTTTAATTTTTTTTTTTTTTTTTGAGACAGGATTGCTAAATTCTAAGCTGCTCAGGCTGGGCTCGAACTTGGGATCCTCCTGCCTCAGCCTCTGGGTGCTGGGATGGCACATGTGCACCATCACACCCGGCAGCTTCTGCAGTTCATTCTGTGAGCTGCACACTGCTCCAAGGCACCGGGCTTTGGTTCATGCACTTACTCTTTGCACTATCCAGTGACGGTACTATCGTGGATATATACCCATTTCACAGAAGTGATGACCGAGGCCAGGTTTACACAGCAATTGAGGGGTATACAGCTGTGCTGTCTATGTGTGTGTACATGTGTGTGCATGTGTGTCATTCAGTGCCATTCTCACTTGATGGCTGGTGATAGCTGCTGATGCTGTTATCTGGTACCACTGACTCCCTGCTTCACTCTGTTAACAGGCTGCCTGTGCAGTGCAGAATACACAGCGACATCCGCAGTACCTGTTAGGTGCCAGTGGCTCACTGCCTCTGCCAAGTGTGACAGACCAAAAGTGTTTCCAGACACTGCAATTTGCCAGTATCTCACACAAAGCAGGGGTGAGCGGAGAACAGGGGGGCAAAAAAAAAAAAAAAAAAAAAAGAAGAAGAAGAAAAAACACCTGAGCTGACTTTTCTCTGCTCTGTAATACTTCCCTGAATGAACCAACTGCGGTGTACGTTCTGTTCTCCCACCGGTGGGCTTTGTGGTTCCCTCCAGCTGTTTCTACCATTACAAATGATGCCGAAGGCAAACTGCTGGCTCCCTGTGAGCCTGTGAGCAAGTTTTTCCAGGACAATTACCCAGAACCACAAGGCCATAAACGACGCTCAGTTTCTGTCCTTCCTAAATCCCAGCCGACTGCGTGCGCGGTATGACAGTTTTACGGTCTTAGTGTCGTCAGATTCATTAGCCTCTTCCTTTATGGTTTTCAGGATTTTGCAACATGCTTTGAAAGCCCCACTCTACATCTGTCTGGAAATAATTGTGGCTAAGAGCAAAGGACTGGGGCGGGGGGAGATCCGGAAAGCCGCGTGTCTTTCCAGCAGTGGGACAGTTTCCAGGACTCACACCCAGGGACACTGAGGTTCCTTCTCTTCAACAATAACCCTGTTTTACTGGTGCCACAGAGAATACTTAGGGCATTTGCTAAGTGCTTGGCCACCTGCAAGCTCTGTCCAGGCCACGGAAATGCCACCACACGGGCCCAGATGTGGGAAGATGACCAGATGGCGGGAGGTTTCCCAGCCGGTGCTGAGTGGGGCTCAGGGACCAAGCAGCAGCTGGGCCGTCTGCCTCTGCATGGGGACCGTCCCCACCTGCCATCATTCCAGAGTCACTGTCCTATCACTGGGCTCCGTGCGGGCCCAGCAGTTTTGTCACATCTGAGCAATGGCCAGGAGGGACCACGTCTTCAGAGTGGCAGGCGATGACCTCGTGGTTCACACCAAAAGCAAGTGGTGGAGCCGGCCAGGCGGGTCCAAGCAGCACCTAGGAGGACTCAGGGCCCAGCTGCCGCACCCCCGCCCACCGCCTGCCAGCCAGGTGACCTGGCCTCCCAACGTCCACCTCCATTGGGTGACCCACTGGGTGACCGGGTCACTTCCATTCTGCCCGTACCTCCAGGGCCTGACACAGGGAAGGAACCTGAGAGACATTTACAGAGTGGTGGACGAGGTGCAGGATCCCAGGACGACTTGCATGTCTTTCCTGCCCTTTCCTTTGATAGTTCCATCGGAAAGCCCCTGCTGGATGGGAAGCAGAATGATGGGAGCACCGGCCACAGGTCCTTCAGTCATCTTTTGACTCTGTCTTAACTCACTGAATCGCTGTGCACCGGACCTGAGTACTACAGTACCGCAGCAGAGCAGAGAGAAAACAGACTCTCTCGAACTGCGCCTCCTCTCAGACAAAGAACTTCCAGACAACCTGGGTCCTTACGGCAAAAATCTGTATAGACCGTACTTCGTTTCTTTCAGTGGTTTTTGTTTCTAAAGACTGTAGACTGTGAGAACAGGCAGCAGAAAACGAGGTGATCCGGGATGTTAAAAGTTGAGAGAGCCAGGCAGGTACTGCGGTTCACATCTGCAATCCCAGCGTTCGGGAGGCTGAGGCAGGAGGGTGGCCGTTTGTTTGAGACCAGCCTGGGCTACACAGTGAGTTCAAGGCTATCCTGAGCTGCATAGAGGGGCCCTGGCTCAAAAAACAAAACAGCTGACAGCCACCTCCTGACAGTGGGCAGACTGTCTACTGTATGCCGGCACAATACCAGGTGATAGACACAGGCAGTGGTGACAAGGACACGTATACAGCCTTGTACAAGTACTTATTGAGTGCTTGCTGTATGCCAAAGGCCCCCACACCTGCACTCACCCGATCCTCACAACCCAGGCTTGGGACCAAGCAAGTTGCTCAGATTGGGCTGACCAGATACAGGGCCTGGGGCAGCTGGCGCTGGAGCCCGCGCCCTCCCCCCGCCCTCCTCCCTGGGAGTGATCCGACCATCTGCAAGGGGACAGTTGGGAGGTGATGACGTCAAGGCCCAGTGGAAGAACAAACAAGGTAGCCCAGAGGCAGGCGAGGGAGAAGGGAGGGGGTTCTAGGCCACACAAAGGCAGCCTGAGAGAAGGGCAGAACTAGGGTCAGCCCTGCTCATTCAGAGCAGGATGTGGGGAGGAGGCAGAGGATGCACGGGGTGCGCTCACAGCCTGGGTGATGCCAGCTGCAGCGCAGCGTCCTTCAGCCTGGGCAGCTGTGGTGGTTTCCACAAACTGCCCCTGGACCATCCTGTCCTCCCAACGGGTCTCCGAGCAAACTCGCCCAACGGGACAGCCATGAGCTGAGGGCACCCTGAGTGAGAGCAGGAGAGAGGGCCTCAGTGGCCGCGACACACCAGGCCCGCGCTCAGGGACCCCTCCCGCGCAACCGTCCCCCTGGGCAGCCCTGCATAGCCTCCTGCCTCAGCTTCCCGCAGTGCTGGGATTAACAGCATGACACCAGGCTGAGGAGCAGCACTGACGTAAAGGCCGAAACAAGAGGCTCCACGGAGAAAGGATGAGACTTTGATGGTTTGCTAAAACCCCCCACTGGTTATGTTGCAAAAATAAAAGGAGAAAAGTTAATTAATTTTGCTTGAAAAAACATATGAATCATTTTCCTAAGAATACATATTTGAGCCAGACATGGTGGTGCACACCTGTAACCCCAGCACTCCAGGAGGCTGAGACAGGAGGATCACAAGATTGAGCCCAGTCTGGACAACCTGGCCACTTAGGAGGTCCTGTCTCCGTGGCAAAAAAAGTTCCAGTCTGACTTCTTTTATGCCCTGTGTAACATGAAATTTTGGCCTCTTTTTAAGCTAGTTCACTTTAGCTTTTCCTGTGTCAGCTCTTCTTGGGCTTCTGGGCTTGCAACTTCCAAGCCTGGAAAGGCGGTGAGGTACTCAGGTCTGGTGTATAAAGGTGAAAAGCTATCTGATCTCCACACACTACTGTTCCTCCCGAACGCTTCGGGCCTTTCTTCTCACCCTCCTAAGAAGTCACCGGGACAGGAGAGGTGGTGCACTCCAATAATCCCAGCAACTTGGTAAACTGAGGCAGGAGGGTCATTAAATTCAAGGCCAGCCTGGGCAATTTGGTGAGGCTCTTGTCAAAGTAAAAATGAATGTTGCTAGAAGGTATAGTTAATTCAGCACTCTCTGGGTTCAGCCTCCAGTACCAGGGAAAAGAAAAAGTGGCCGGGAATAGGAAGAAGGCCTGTGGCCAGTTTGCCTTTGATCAGGTGCCAGTGGGGGGCTAGATAGCCCCGGACAAAATACCCAGCTGCAAGTTCCCAGCATCCCCCAGCACCAGCAGGAGTCACTCCTGGGCCAGAGAGGATCTGTACAGCACATCAGCCCAGGCTGTGAGCTCAGCTGGGAGGCCCTGAGGCCCTTGAATCCTGGAGTACAACCCAGTAGTTTTGAAGAACATTTTCAAAGGCCAGGAAGACAAGACAGAGTCAGAAAACACATTTGCTTAAAGCCCTACAAACAGGAGGCACACATCCAATTTTCTCAGTGGCAATTTAAAAATCAACACACACAGAATCTTGGGCTGTCCAAGCTGAAAGGAACTCAGACTTGGTTCCACAGAGGTGAGGAGGCCGGGGCCAGGCCGCGGTGTAGCTTGTGTCTTACAGGTCTGTGTATCACCCGTTCCGCTCCACCACTGCGACACAAAGGCAGCCCCACAGACGAGATGTGAACAAGCGAGCGTGGTTAAATTCTGATAAAACTTTATTTATTGATGGACACTGAGATTTGCATGTTACATTATTTTTCACATGCTACAAAAAATATTTTTGATCTTTTCAACCACTTAAAAATGTAAAGACCATTTTTCAGCAGGCTACACAAAAACAGGTGGTGGGCCATATCTCACCCCACCCCGGGCCCCTCGCACACCAAGCATAGGAACCTGCCACTTCACACCTGGTTTATTTACTCTTCACTTTCCCCGTCCACATCGAAGGCCCAGATTCTGTTCACCAAAGACACACAGCTAAGCAGCTCTGTACATGTTTTCTAAATTTTAGGAGTAGTAGGATCTGCCAGGTCACAGACCAGAAACATTGATACAATGCCATTATTGTGTATTAAATTAAAACAATCAAGAAAACAACAATAAAATTGAGGAACCCACTGAATTTGAAAAATAGGCTTTATTTTAACCAGTGGTATTGTCTGACATTCTATATGGCGTAACTGATTACAGCCCAGTTCAGGAATACAAATAAAATAGCAGTTTCCCACCGCCCCTCTGTGGTGCCCTGTCAAGAGAATCAGAAGGGAGCTCCTGTTCAGAATCAGAATCCAAGGAGCTCTTCCTCGCTCCAGCTCAGGGTCCAGCACTCGATCTCCTAAGGTGTCCACAGCCATGTGCAAAGATCTTTCTAGAAGCACATTCAGGGTGGCATCCCGACAGCAGTCACACTAACAATCACACACACATGGCTGATGAAATCTGCCTCGCTGTGGATGGCGAGGGTCTGCACTGCGTGAAAGGAGGTGAGGCGTCATGTTTGCTCTCCCAGGAGGGACAGGTCCCAGGTGAGGGGCCCGGCTCTCAACCGCCTCCTTCCTGCGGGCTCAGGGCCCTACCCTGTTCCCCGGGAGTGCATGTGTCACTGTACTAACAGAGCACAGAGACACCTCGGCCTGAACACAAGATCTGTCACACAGCCGACACTGGAATTGGCTTTGCACTTTATTAACACAAACGGCTTAAATATAGGGCCCTCAGGTAGTGGAAAAGCCTGAAGTTCAGAAAGTTATGCAAGCAATTCTTCACCCCTGAGCACATTTCATCTTGATAAAGGTGGACATACAAAATATTAAAATACTTTGCCCCTTCTTCCCATCAAAAAAAATCACTCAAAGAATCCCTGTGACGTATAAAATTCTGAGAAAATTTGTTTCTCCCCAAACCAAGATTAAAAAAAAAAAAATCAATGTTAAGCTGCCAAGACCCTTTCCACAGAGGGGTCAGAAACACCGGGGGGGGGGGGGAGACACTGTGTGGCCTTTTTTAAAAAAAAACATATTTAGAGAAAGATAGCCAAAGGAGCTTCTGAGCTCAGGAGCTTTTATTTTTCCACTTTGACTTTCAGCATTTCATAGCACTGGGGGTGAAGACAACAGCGTGTTTCTCAGAGTTTGGGATCTCTCTGGGCAAAGCCCCCATCATCTCTATGACAACTCCCCGAAAACAATTTGCTGCAATACCCGATGACAAGAATGAGAATGCTAACCCGTCCACCAGCCCTCCTTTTCCACACCAACAGCACCTGGACACGACAGTGTGGGAGCCTAAGAGAAGATGCAATCCCTCGTCCCCTGTACCAGCTGAGTTGACATGGGGCTGCATCTACCTGAGAAGTCCCCCTGGGCGGCCTCGCCTGGTCTAGGGAAGAACAGGACGGGCAGCTGGGCATGCGCAAACAGCAAGGTGTGCAGCACATGCCCTCACTCTGCCAGGAGTGACCAGCACACTGACAGCAGCAGCCTGCTGTGCATCCTGGGTGAAGGATGCCCATCGCGCATGCGCGGACATGGCCGCCTCCGAGGGCTGCGCGGTGACTTCTGCCCGGTGACTGACTTCCGGCTCGCAGTGGCCATCTCCAACAGCCCGCTACTTGCCTGGCTCAGAACTCAGCAGCAGCAGTGTTTGAACTAGCGACACTGACTTCTCTCCTTTTAAGGCACAGACATATTTACAGTTTCAAACATGATCTGTCAAGTTCTGAGAACCATACTGAGCAGACTGCCCATGGGCTCGGGCACAGGGGCGGTTGGTCCTTTGGGGCAGAACGCAGGGGACCTCTGCAGACCTGATGCGGCCAGAAGGTGGGCACCCTTTCTGCACTGTGGTATGTGGCCAGGACCAGAAAGGCAACGAAAACTTTCCTTCACAGGGGACAGAATCCCAGATGTGGCAAAAGCGTAACTGGGATCGGGCATTTAGCATTGTGACTTTGCGTCTAACACACCCCTAACAAGATGGCAGCCTTGTGTGCCTGAGTCAGGAGAGGCTGCTGTGAGCATCCGTAACTCCACGTAATGTCGCTGTAATCGTAACTGCTCTTACTACACTTCTATCCTTCCACAAAGACAGACATGCACATGCACACACTAACACACACGCACACACTAACACACACGCACACACACACACACACACACGCATGCTGCGCGTGCACACACACACCCCTTCCACCATGGAGGAGATCTTTGCAACGAGAGGCACTTGAATGAGATTTGGAGAGTTCCCACGAGAAGGCCTTCCCCTCACAGTGAAGTGGGATGGACGGGACACAAAGCAGGCGCTCAGGACTCCATCTCTTCTTGGTCAAGGGGGGGTGGCACAAAGCTGACGACTTCGTCATAGGTCAGGCCTGGAAGGCAGGAAGGAAAAGGCAGATGTCAGAGTTCAGACTCTCTGCTGGCCGCACTGACTTCTAAACTCAAGCTCCTCCTGTCCAGGCTGGTGCGGTGAAGGGCCACCTCAAGGGACTGCAGCGTCACTAATGTATGATGTCCCTGCAGGACACAGGACTCTGCAGAGGCTTGAGGACCCACGTAAACGACCCACTTCCTCTCATTTCCTTCCTTACCGAGTGCGTCCTCTTTACAGCTCTTTGGAGAAAGCGTTCAAGGGTAACAGACCACTTGAAGCGGCAGACAAAGGGCCTCCTGGCTCTGGAGGTTTAAGTTCCGAACTTGGGTTTTAAGGGAGGAATATGAGACTGCACATGGGAGACGCAGGTTCTATTCCTGGCCGTGTCCCTGACTAGGTCTCAAGGAACAAGTGAGGCACAAACTCTCCTCGCCTCGATTCGATCCATCGCAAAACTGTCAACACCCTGCTCACTGCTCATCTCAGACAGATGTTGCAAAGGCAAAACTCCAGAGAACCTGAAAGCTCTAGCAGATGTGAAGGGCTGTGCACAAAATCAGACCAGACATAAGCATCTCAAAAATCCAAGGAGGCGTCATCTATAACAGACAGATTCCATTAGAGGAACACACTCATTCTGCAAGACCTCAGCCGTAAGGGTCAGTGAACTGGCTAGAACCATTCCATTTTTATTTCTCTTTCTCTCTTTCTTTTTTTTTTTGGTACTGGGGACCAGGGTCACCAATTTGCACTTGCCAGGCAGGCGCTTGTGCCGCTGAGCTATACCCCCAGCCCCATTTTTATTTTTCTAATGAGTTGGTTAGTGGTTCATGTAGAAAAGGTTTCCTTTTTCTTTTCTTTCTTTTTCTTTTACTTTTGAGACAGGGTCTCATGATGTAGTTCAGACTGGCCTTGAACTCACTATGTAGTCCAGGGTGGCCTTGCACTCACAGCAATCCTCCTGCCTCAGCCTCCTGAGGGCTGGGATCACAGGTGTGCACCACTACACCCAGCTAGAAAGGTTTTTAAAGATGAATTCTCTGGGTTCATGCTAGCACTGCCTTTTGGACTTACTTTTCCATTCATCTATGAGGAGGTCCCTGCTTTCAAAGGACTGATCGTACGGATCAGCCACTGGTTCATCGTCAGGATCGTGGTATTGAGCAAAGTAGGCGTGTGCTAGGGCTTGGGCTGCTGTGATTCTCTTATCCGAGTCCAATACAAGCATCTTCTCCAGCAGGTCAACAGCTGTTGGTACCATAGGTTGGAAGGAAAAATCGAGAAGTTTTAACATGCTATAAAAGATAATGCTGTATTAACATGAAGACACAGTTTTAACTCTTGTGTCCAAGTGAAGAATTCTCCGATCTGCTCTAGGATATATTATCTTTGCCCTACTTTGTGTGTGTGTGTATTCTGCAGGGTTTTTTTTTTTTGGTCTTTTTTGAAATGGGGTCTCACTATGCAGTTCAGGCTGGCCTTCAGCTCACTTTGTAGCTCAGGCTGATCTCAAACTCGTAATGATCCTCCCGCCTCAGCCTCCCGAGTGCTGGGATCACAGGTGTGAGCCACCACGCCCGGCTGTATTCTGCAGTTTTTAAGAATATAGCTAGGCACAGTGCTTGTACTCCCAGCACTAGCATGTACAAGGTCCTGGTTTCAAGCCCAGCACAGATTTTAAAAAAAGAATATATTGTGTAAGTACCACATACTAACCAATGGTGGGGATTCTGTTTGAACAAACTTTTGTAGAATGTCAAACTGCTACCACTGTAATCAAGCTGAATCAAACTGTAAACCAACAGCTACAGTAATTCAAATCTGAGATTTTTGTGGTCCCCTTCCACTATTTAATTACTAATATAAGGATAAATAAACATTCGTTGAACAGATCGTCAAACAAGGAGCAAAAGGAAGTTTTTTTTCTCCCTGAGGGAATGTGTAGGAGACACTGTGTTGGGATAAAACAAAATTTTAGTTTTAAAAAAATTCACTATGAAAATATTTAAATTTACAGAAATATAGAAGTAGAAACAGTACGGGATGAACATCATAAGCCTACCATGTGGACTGAACAATGAACATTTTATATTTATATGTATTTTTCTGAACTGATCTAAAATAACATGATAAAAGACGTCACTTTCTAGTCTAAATCCTTTAGCACAAAGACATCTTCCCATATAATCACTGTATTTTAGTATTCGTGAGAAATAACTGTCAAATATCAGTTAAAATTCTGTTCTGTTAAATTTTTTCTAATTATGTCAGACCTGGCTGTTAGAACTCATGTGTTCAAATGCCACACATTTGATTTGCTTTCTTTAGCCTTAATCTAGAATAATCTCTAATCTTTTTCTGGATTTTGATCTGAAAAGATACTCCAGTTATCTTGAGACATTCCTCATAAAGAGCTATCTGGTTTAAAAAAAAAAAAGGAATTGTCTGGTTGCCTTGAACCCAGGGTTTTGCCCAGAGTGACACCCTCCGCCCTTCTCTCCTCCTCAAAGAACAGGGCAGCTCCTGGCCAAGGACCCTGGAGGTGACGGGACAGCCACGCCTTGAGCTCTGAGGTGGGAGTACTCTGCAAAGGGAGGACGGCTTGGCCTCCGAGGGATGAGGGGCAGGGGTGAGGACAGGACCCGCAGCCGCTGAACACCCAGCTGTGCTTTGGCTGCTTCTGCCCTGGCTGGGGACGCCACAAACCAGGAGCAGCTGAACAGGTCACAGGCGCCTCCTGCACCTCCGTCCCCTCGCTTCCCTGGACCTTTCCCCCAGGGTCCCCACTATCCGCTGTTTACCTCACTGCACCAGCCCATCTCCCCCGCCGGATTCACTGACCATGTGGTACACTTGCCACATGGTTGTAAAAGAGCCCCGACAATACACACGTGGATAATAAATGCCATTATTTATCACGTTCTAAGATGCGATTAATGGTGCCCTGTTTGGTCCAAAGGAAAAATGTCTTCAGATCCTTTTGTAGTCACGGCCAGTTTAATGCTACAAAATGAGGACAGTCAACTTACCCAAGGGGTTGGCACCAATAAATACATTTGCAAAGTTCATCTTCGGCATCTGGGTCAGCGACTGGATGTAGTTTCTTGCCTATAAAAACAAGAGTTTTCAGAATGACTTGGTTTAACGGTGTGATGGCCTTCAGAGGCTTGACTGTTGGGAACACCTAACCGACAAAGTCCCCTTGCTGACTCCCACGCCATGACCAACTTACTTACCCACGGGAGACTTCTTTCCTCCTGCCACCCTGACTTTCTGTGTTTATGCCCATCACCTGCCTCCTGCAGTCTCCCACAGCTATGTCTTACATAAACAAGACTGTAACCAATGAAGCTCACTAGCTTTCCGATTCTAGAATCAGATACTTAAAAACATTGTTCGGTTGAGATATCTAAGAAGTAGCCCTTTATGAGAAATCCTCGGCTGCCCTTTATTTACTGAGGTACCGGGGATGGAACTCACAACCTCGCACTTGCCAGGCAAGCGCTTGTGCCACTGAGCTCAAGCCCCAGCCCCTCAGCTGTCATTTTCAAAGAGCTGAAAACCAGCAGAGAAGCCGAACTGAGACGCAGTCAGGAGGGGAACAGGACACGCATATGGCTGTGATCCCTTCTGCTTGAGCACATAGATAAGAGGAGGGAAATGCAGAGTGAGAAGACCTGTCAAACCAGAGAACAGCAATCCCCGAAATAAAGTTAAATCCGCAGACTGCGAGATACTCTGAGCTTCGGGACAGACAAAGCTGCTGGGAAGGGCCTCTGTGATTCAAGGCTGCCTCGCTGAAATATTAAGGGCACCTTAAAAAGAAGTGTCTCCATCATCTCTGATCCTGCAACTGGAATTAGCTTACATGGTTGAGAACTGAGAGAAAGCCTTTAGCCCACCTAAGTGTTCATATTTACTCTACAGGATTGTGTCTTTGCCCACCTCTGGTCAGGGGACCACAGCTCCGCCCTGGGAGGGAGGAACATTCCTTCTGCACTACCCTCAGGAAATCGGCTAAGGAGCAGTTTTCCGCTGACGAGCTTATGCTGTGTTTTCAGTCTCTCAGATTGGATGACATTTTACCCCGACCATCAATGTCTTGGCACTGCACGTCTTTTAGCCCTGCAGGGGCATGCAAGCATTTGGGCATTCTTGGGGCTGGTTAGCCAGTGGTGACATGAGAAACGCGGCCTTTTAACCAGCCGGCCCTGTCCAGTCTACTCGGTCCTCACCTCGTGGCTTGGCATCCTGTTAATGAGATAAGCGGGGGGCGTCCCCGTCAGACGCATAATCTGCTGAAGCTGGTTAATATCTTAGATGCCTGGTCAAGGGCATTGTTAAACACACAGTGCAGGAAATAACGTTCAACTCAGCTTTAAAAAAAAGATCAGAAGCTGCCCCCAAACAAAACAGAAGCTCTGCTCTCCACCCACCCCAGCCAGAGCCCAAGGCATGCTTAGCACACTAAGGCATGCTTCGGTGACTGGCGGGAATTATTAGCCACATACCCGGGGAGTGATGGTCATGCAGGTGAGAAAAACTACGTAACACTTTACAGTTAAACAGACTGCTCTTTGATCCAGGATGCCAGCCAGAGAACTGTTTTCAAGTCCTGATGGCTAAAACTTGTTTGCCAGTAGGGTAAATATAAAAGACTAAGGAAATCTGGACTTGGCTTTGGACAAAACAAAATATCCAACAGCTCCATCTGGGGAGAGATTAAATTTCTGCGGCACAGGTCGCATTTGGAGAAATTCACACGCAAGTTCAGAGACATCAGCAGTGGGACATCTCCAACACATGCCACGAACACAGGATGGTGACTGAGGAGGAGGAGATGGGCTGGGATTAGAGGCCAGCAGCAGGGGCAAAACCCATGGCACAGGCTGCCAGCAGTATCAGTGCGTGCGCCACAAGGGCCAGGTCAGTGCAGTCCCACGAGGGGACGGGTCACTCAGCTAACAGCTGGGAGGAAGTGCCCAGAACGCTCTGAAGGTATTGCACTATGAAGCTTCCCTTCTGTACCAGCAGGTGAACAAGCTGCCCTCTCCACTCTCTCTGGCCATTGATATTTACACAATATCCTGCCCCACAAATTATAGAAACTGTTAGTTTATCATGCATTGGTATTGAAAGCAGAAATGATTTTTTAAAATCTCCCACATATTTAATAAACCTGTTTTCTGTTCTCTTTCTTGTTAACAAGGCTCTCCTGCTGCTGAAGCATCACCCTCAACGCACACACTAGCGGTGAGTTTGCATGTTTGTAGGTTCCATGAATACTCCCAGACTCTGGCTCACCCTCGGGCTCCGCTCTGTCTCTCCTGCTCTGTAAGCCCTAAGGTAGCCCAGCAAATTCAAAAGGTGGTGGTTACAGTTTACACTTAAAACGTCTCCCCAGGCCTTCTGTGTTCAGAGGTGGGTTTAAGATGACCGGGTCACGGGGTGCTACACTCATCAGTGGAGTCATACGTTAATGAGGTCAGGGCCAAACGTGCTCTTAGGAGCTGGAGCCTACATGGAGGAGGTGGGTCACTGGGGGTGTGGCCTGGAAGGGTTTATTTTTGCCCCCAGTGTCTCTGTTCACTCTCTGCCTCCACTTCCTGGCTGCCATGGGATAAGCAGCTTTTCTCTGCCAGGCCATTTCATTCTTGGAGCAACCAGCTCTGGACTAAACCCTCTAAACCATGAACCAAAGAAACCCTCTCCTCCTGTAAGTTGCAGGTGTTAACAGTTTTGTACCGGCAATGGGAAAATCACTAATAGGGTTCTTTAAAAAAAAAAAAAAAGAAAGGAAGGAAGAAAAACAAAACACAAACTCTTTAGAGTTCTTTTAACATCCTTGCAACAAACTGCAGATTTCCTTTTAAACAAATTACGTGCCAAATGGTACTTTGCATGCCAACAGAAATAACAGAGGTCTACAAACCAAATCTCCAGTGGTAGTTTACTGCCCAGGTTTTAAAAATGTTAGGATCCTACCATCTCTCTCTTCCTTTCTGTGAGCAATTCTTGGCCTATACATGTGCTGATTTTGCCTCCTTTAGTCAAGTAAGTGATTATATCTCCTTCCTGTCGGGAAGTTAGGAAGATCATATTTCTACAGAAAAGTGAGTCAGGCTTTTGCTTTCTTAATACGAATTTTTGTTCCTTCACTTAGTACAGGTGCCAGGACAGCAAAAGACAAACTCCGTATCCGTAGGCACCCACCGTGACCAAGCACCCCCTTTCTAGGGCACCCCCTAGCCTGCCCCAAGCCATGCTGCCTTCTCTTACAATGCCCCACTGCTGGTTACCTGGCTTTTCTCATCAATGCTGGCATTGCTACCTTTTAGGAGCAATGAAAACAGCAGCTGTGCGTCTGTCTCCTGGATTTCTTCACTAATGACTAATTTTTAAAATTGTCGAGCAGCTTCACTCACCTGGCGCTGCTAAGTTTCCATTCTGTACACGCTATCACGTGCTTTTAAAGTCCACGGGTACCTGGGCGAACAAGTTAAACTTGCACGGGCTTTTGAATACTAGAAACTATTTTGCTCCACTCACGGCGGTTATGGAGGAAAACCCACTCCTTGTCAGCCCTGAGCTCAGCACAGCGCTATGCATGCAAGTGCTGTGTGCTGGTACTCGAGTTCCTTACGCACGGGCTGCACGGAGCTGGTGACACACGTGAGCTCCCGCCCCACTCACTGCACAGCGCCTGAGGTTAGGCAGCCGCTGCTGTCTTGCTCATAAATATGTAATAGGCAGTGATAGATAAGTACTATTTACCATGCCAGTGTTTCAGAACTCCGTGTGACACACAGCACATACCTGAGGGGCAGATGGCAGGGCAGGGGCAGGGCAGAGAGCTGCAGCCAGCAGTCATTCCCGACAGGGAATGAATCCACCACTCATTAATTAGCTGAGCCCTCCCAGCCCTCCCTCTGCCCCCATGTCCTTTAAAAAAAGCCAATCTTTCTAAGCAAATACAGCAAAATAAAAAACAAAACAAAAAAAAAAGGAGAAAAAGAAAAAAAACCCACATATAAACTAAAAATGCCCCGCCTCTGCCTAACGCCATCTCTCAGATCTTCTGTATGCACTGATCCAGCTTCTGCATTTTCGGAAGCAGAAGCAAACTTTGCTTGGAGTGGCTGAGGGTAGGTAATTTGGCAAGGGCTTTGGAGAGGGCCTGTGATTGCATGCGCTGCTCAGATCAGGTCCTCAGAACATCTGGGACCCACACTCAGCTCTGCCCAGTGACTCAGCACGCGGCTGGGGCGAGCCACAGCTTTGCTGCACTCCGCGGCTTTCTGATCATAAGTAAATGAAACACAAGGAAATCAGGCCAGACATGCCTTCGGTCTGGCTGGAGGGGGGAGGAAAAGACCCTGCTGGGCCCTGTGGTCCTTCTCAGAGACGCAGGCTACCTGCGGGGTGACGGTGCCCTCTGCCGGGCCTGGGGACCAGTCAAACTCACCTGTCCGGCCTGCCTCAAGCCACCAGCAATTGTCCCAACTGGGCAAAGGGGCCCCTCTGTCAGACAGCTGCAGGGCGCCTGAGGAGGCACAGCTGGAGCTCGGGGGCTCCTTGGCTCTCTTTCCTCTTTGTCCAAGTGCTTGGCGGCAGACAGAGGGAAAATGAGCTTTCGTGGCTGTTCTTGCGTCCCTGGCCCGTGGGAATGACCCACTATGGGAAGCAAAGGCAGAGTGCGCCAGAGTCACCTCCTCACGGCTTCTGTCTGAGTCACTGGGGGCAGGCGAGCCTAGCTCTGAAGTCTTTCCTTGGGTTACGCAGGAAGGCTGTGACCACACTCTGCTCTGTGGGGCTGAGGTGGCAGTTTTCCTGTGCGGCTGAGGGCTTGGGGAGTGCGTGGCACGGTTGGGAAGCAAACACCTTCCACAGGATGGACGGGCTGTCTAACTCTAAAACAATGACCAGCAAGTGACATTCAGAAAGGGGCCCCATTCTTCTAGCGATGAAATTAGCCTAACACAGGGTGAAGTTCACATCCTCAGCTCTAACGCCAGCCAAGTGCGTGTAGACAGAGCGTCTAAAAATGATGACGTCTGAGGGCCTGAGGACAGATTTCCCATTAGTCTCTTGTAATGAACCAGAACCTCTAATCTCAGTGCATCCTATTACTAGGATGCTATTACCCCAGAGAGGCTCCCATGATCAGAGTATACACTCAGACAGAGAGAGAACGCAACATTCGAATGCATGCAAGCAGACACACGTATGCACACACACACGTACACACGGCTATCTCCTCACAGGCACACATGTGTACCCACACACCAGGCTCAGGGACACACTAATGGAAGGCAAGTGGCAGAGGCTCCCCATGGGGCAGAGAATTACAATCAAAGCATCAACTCACAGACTCTGAGGAGATTTTCTTCAAGAGCTCAGCCCCTGGGGTTCCAACGAGTCTTAAAATGAGCTTCAACTGATCAATATCTAATGGTGGACTATAAAGGAAAATGTTGGGACAAAATAAAAGTGGGGGGAAAAAAAAGCAAACAATAACAAACAAAAAGGAAACGAAAACAAACCAAATATCCAAAGAATGAAAACTAAAAACCCAAACCAAGCCAGCAGGGTCAAATCATCTAGGTCAAGATTGCTGCAAGCTGATCACGTCAACAGGACACACTCTTCCTGGACAGGGGTTCAAAGAGCCACCACACACACACACACACACACACACACACACACACACCCAGCTGGCGGTCATTTTGGGCACCTGTCAATATCGTGTACCAGGAAAGAGAAGCAACTTTAGCTGGGTCTCAGCTGGCGACTCAGAGGATGGAGACCCAAAGGCCCCGCCCACCAAAGCGTCAGTACCCAGGCAAGCAGGGAGAGTTGGAAAGCACAGAGCTCCACAGGAGGAGAAAGCAGCAGAGCACAGGAGCTAGGGAGGTCGTCTGTTTGGGCAGTCCCTAAGACAGGGAATGGTGAGCGGCAGTCTGCCGGCAGGGGGCGCTCTGCTCCGCGCCTTCTCGCAGGGGACCGTAACTGAGCTGCTGAACTCAGGGTTCTGCCTCGTAAAGACAAAACGCAGGCAGAAGGCTTGAAGAACTTCGCTCATCCTAAAGGCTCTTGCTACGAAGCCACAAATGCCCAAACTTTTCGGGTGGCTGGCACTTCCGTGTATACTCAGAATGAATGTGCATGTACTAATCAGAAATGCTTTCCAGTTCTCCAGGCATTTGGTCATGCCTTAAAAAAAGAAAGTTAAAGGAGAAAGAAAAAAAAAAAAAGAGAGAGAGAGATCCTATGTAGACTGGAACAGTTTATCCGTGTCTATGCCGACACTGTGGA